TTTAACCCATGTACATAGGAAAAACAAAAAGATCTATTAACACCCGCGTGAAAGAACTTATAGCTGACTTGAAGCACCGACGTTCCGGGAAGTCTCCAGTGTGTGAATATGTTCTAGATCGTCCCCGCCATTACATTAGATTTGATAGACCACAAATCCTTGCAAAAGAATACCGATTCATACCAAGGATGATTCGCGAAGCTATTGAAATTAAAAACATCCTAATTTCAATAGAGAAAATAGATGAGTGCTGCCATCTGCTTGGGATCCTATAATTAATAAAATTAAATCCAAACCCAAGCATACCACTGCAAAATACTGTAAGCTCATTGTGCGTAGATCGGACCAAAAATTAATAATAATTATTAAAAAATGTGTAACAAAGTAGTGTTGCCAGATAATTAATTTTTAACATTATTAAAAATCCGCGTAAAAGACGCTGACGTGAAACACCAAAGCTCCGGGAAGTCTGTAGTTTGTGATCATATCCTAGACGACCACCGTCATTAGGTACATCAGATTTGATACATCGCCATTACACAAATCCTCGCGAAAGAACATCGATTCCTACCAAGGTGATACGTGAGGCTATTGAAATTAAAAAAAAAACATCCTAATTTCAATAGAGAATGAGGTTGGGTACTACCACTTGCTTGGGATCTTGTAATTAATAAAAGCATACCACTGCAAGACTTCAAGACAGTGAGCATATTCTGCGTACATCTAACCAAAAGTAATGTCCACTCAAAAATAAAAATCTATGAGAATTTTTTTTTGTGTGGGAGTACATACAATAAAACAGCACATTCATAGTCAAATGTTAACCTAAACTCTCAGACAAAAAACCTTGATCCCGCGCATTGTGTCACGCTTGATGCAATTGACTAGAGGTTGAAGTTCTAGCACTACTCGTATAATATATATAGCCAATTTCAATGAAATACAAACGACTTGTGTGTAAGCTCTAGAACTCTCTTGTAGAACTTACCCACAAGACGTTTTTGTTTCACTAAATTTACATAACTGAACAGCTCGTGAGTTAGGTGCTGTACTACTTACTAGTAAAAGAATGAAATAAGAAAGTATCGTCGAATTGACGATTGAAAGTGGATGCATACGCGCGGTAGGGCGGGCGGCAGCAGCCGGTTAGAGAAAAAAAACGAGACCACATGAATGATATCTGTATCCGCTAACACAATAAGCGCGAAGACTAAAACTTCTACGTCGACTATTTAGTCAGAGTTCGGTGAGACATGTCTAACCAAAAATATTTTAATATAGTAGCAGCTTACAGATGTATTCATTTTTACTGCCAAAATTATCGATCAAAGTACAGACTAAAGCTGAGCGCACATTTGTCCGCACCGTATGCGCCGAATTTTACAGATCTCGCACATAGATAAATAAATATCTAGCAAGCTACCCTCGCACATTTACAAGGGCGGCTCTGAAAATTTCGGGAATCAAGGAAGTGACACAACATTACTATTTAAAAATGTATTTATTGCTTTTCGAAATTTTCTCCGCGAAATTTGACACATTTTTCCATACGATGGAACCAATCATTGAAGCAACCATTCCATTCGGAAGTTGGCGTCTCCAAAATGGCTGTTTTGTAGGCATCCACAGCTTCTTCAGGTGATGAAAATCTCTGTCCACGCAATTTATTCTTTATTTTAGGGAAAGTATAGAAATCATTATGGCTTAGGTCGGGGCTGTACTGTACGAGCAAGACGGTCTAATAATTCTATGTTTTCTTGCTCTAAAAACTCTTTTGTTCTGTGTGCGGTGTGAGAACTCGCATTGTCGTGATGGGGGATGATGCGGCGGTTGCAGTTCTCTTTACGGAGTTCAGAAACGACCTGTGGCAAACAAATGCTAGCATACCATTCTGCATTAACCGTTCTTTGTCCCTCAAGAGGAATAGTCTTAACATGGCCGGTTTTGGAGACAAACGTGGCCACCATTTTTTTTTGCAACACTGTGAACGAACAATTTTTGTTGGCTTTAACTCATTTTCGAACACCCAAACGTTTCGTACGCGTATATCCAGGATTCGTCACCTGATACGATGTTGTATACAGCATTTGAGGATCCTGCATGGAATCTTTCGAGAGTTCTGACGCACCAAATAACGAGAGCCTCTTTTTGCTCTTCACAGAGCGAATGCGGTATCCATCGCGAATACAACTTTTTTACACCTAATTGTTCATGCAAGATTATTTGTATTTGACTCATGCCAATGTCTAGTTTTCTGAATTTCGCGGTATGTCACATGTCGATCTTCCTTAAACTGCTTACGCACAGCATCAACGTTTTCTTGGGTGACTGCAGTTTTTGGACGACCTTGACGGGGATCATCACTGAGCTTGACACGTCCACGTTGAAATTCAGCAAACCAGCGATAAATTGTGGTTTTTGATGGGGCATCATCACCAAATGCAGAAATCATCCGGTCTACACACTGTTTTTGTGCTAAACCACTTCGAAAGTCATAATAAATCAACGCTCTTGAATTTTCTCGAGTCAATTCCATTTTCTCAACGACTAAACAAGTTTGATAAAACCTTGTGGCAAGACCGAGAATCTTTTTTTAAATAAATAAATGGTATTCGATTTTATAAAACCAAGGACTTTTTAATTAAAAAGATTTTAATATGACAGGAACAGTGGAAATATTCTATTCCCGATACTTTTAGTGCAGCCATCGTACTAATCAAACCAATAAACAAACATCTCTCTATGGAAAACAAATTACCACTGCATGCAAAAAAACGTTCTAGTAGCGGACTTAAAAAGCTTATTTTATGACGTATGCACAGTTAATAGACCTTTTAACTGGAAAAACTTTAATAACTAAAATAGATCATCATTATTACAGCCCTTCACAAGTCCACTGCAGAACATAGGTCTCCCCCGAGGAATGCCACAAAGCACGTTCCTGAGCCACTTGCATGTTTTACCAGGTCGTCACTCCATCTAGTGGGGGGAAGCCCTACACTTCGTCCGCCGGTACGAGGCCGCCACTCGAGAACCTTTTTTCTCCATCGGTTGTCGGTTCTTCGAGCTATTATATGGCCGGCCCATTGCCACTTCAGCTTACTAATCCGTTGGACTATGTCGGTCACTCTGGTTCTACTGCGGATATTCTCATTTCTAAGTTTATCACGCAATGAAAACTTCGAGCACAGCCCTCTCCATAGCTCGCTGAGCGACCTTGAGCTTTCTTATCCGGCCAGCAGAGGACCACGTCTTAGTTCCATAGGTCATCATTGGCAACACGCACTGGTTGTACAGTCTCGTTTTCAAGTTTTGAGGTATACCTGACGAGAAGATGTGCTGTAATTTCCCGAACGCTGCCTAGCCGAATTGAATCCGTCGATTGATCTATCGGTCGAAGTTGGACTTCCACATACACCAGACATAGTGGCAACTTCTCGTATTTCTGCACAAATTGCCGAAGGGTATGTATGTGGTCTATGGTGCTAAAGCCTTTTCGGATACTGGCTTGTTCAGGAGGCTGGAAATTGACGAGTCTGCATGCGAGACGATTTGTAATGACTCGAAAACTGCACGTAGACGCAGCTCAGAAGGGAAATCGGTCTGTAGTTCTTCAAAAGAACGTTGTCGCCTTTCTGGAAGAACAAGACCACCGCACTTCTGCTCCACGCTTCCGGTGTAGTGCCACCATGGAGGACAGAAGTGAAGAGCCTCTGAACGACTAAGTATTGGTTTTCCATCCGCTTTCAGAAGCTTCGCTGTAATTTCATCCGCGCCTGGGGCCTTGCCGTTTTTAAGGTGATGGTCGCTCGCTCAGACTGACGTCCGGAATAGTGTCGGATAAGCCTTGCTCTTGGATCCTTACTCACACTTGCGAATGATGATGTGTACAGCTGCCTATAGAACCTCTCAATCTCACTCAAAATCTCAGGTGTCTTGGAAACGACGCTGCCACACTCGGTCTCCAGCTTCGACAGTTGGCTCTTTCTGGCAGACAGATCTCTAGCAGACTTTGGAGCCCTGGTTCCGCTTGATCGCTTCTTCAATATGAGCAGTATTAAAGTTGCGTAAGTCCCGCCGCATGCATTTGGAGATCTATCTGTTCAGTTGCCTCTATGTTGTCCAATCTACTGAAGACTGCAGCTTCATTTCCAGTCTAACAGCCATGAGATTAAGAGTGTGATCGGAGTTTTTGTGTTCTGCGGCGGGTCTTGCAAGACTTAATTCCGACCGCATGGACGGTTTCCACGAGCTTGTCATTCATATCGTCCACTGCATTCCAATTTTCTGGGCACTAAAAACGGTTTTGTAGCTCTAGCTGAAAGGTTTCGGGATTTTGGATTAGAGCACGAGGAGGACGGAGCATTGACTTCATTAGACGTGACCTCTCCAACTTAACGTTTAGGTTCAGTGTGCCTCTCACCATTCGGTGATCGCTGCCGATTTTCACCCTCGCGTTATCACAGAACAGTTGTCGTCTGGTCGTCATAATGAAGTAAATCTCATTTTTTGTCTAACAGTCGGGGTCGGGGGTAGTTTCTCATAAAGTCCCTCTTTCTCTATGAAGTCTGCCAGCTTCTGGCCCCTTGGGTTCCGTTGACCTATTCCAAATTTCCTAACTTCAGCTCACCATTCTCTCTTGTGCCTAGTTTTGTGTTGAAGTCTCCCATTAACGCCGTATAGTGGTTTTTGTATAGCTCTAGATAAATACTCATACATTTCCTCCACCTCCTCATCGGGAGACCTCGGCCAAGGTCGGTGCGAAAACCTGTATGACCTTCAGAGAATACAGTTTGATGATTCAGAGTATAAGGTCAACCCTCGTCAACACACTCAACGTTGTTAAGGAGAGACTTGTGGACGATAAATCATTCTATTTCAATGAATGTATTACATTCCTAATTAAACAATATAATTCTTCCAAATTTAAATGATATTTCCACAATTATTTCTTATGTGGCAGCAACGCGCTGGCTACCAGCTTAATAAAAAACAGTTATGGCTTTACTTTTAATATTATTAAAAATTACGTAGACATAATATTTGTGGTTACATAGAATAATTCCGTATAAACAATGTGAATAATGCTTGTACCAGCAGTTCAGTGTCCGTGATCTCTGATAAAACATTTTCCTTCAAACAATATCAGCAGCTTGTAATGACAAAATTGCTGAAATCACGCAGATCCACTAAATTCATACTCTTAGAAAATAAAATGTAAGTGGATATAATCGGACTCAATAAAAAGGGGTAATTTAAAAAAAAAGTTTCATTTTCACATAATATTCTAAAGAATTTGAGTTCTTTGTGAGAATGTTATAATAATTTATATTTTATGTATTTCTGCTGTAAATCAAGATATCCACATTTGAAATGGTCATGTGAGAGGAAAATGTTCACTATGTTATGAGGTAATTCATCACAAGGGCACAGGATCGAAGCTGCGTGGAGTGAGGCTGGTACTGGAGCCAGGTGCTTCTCCACTCTGTGGACCAGTTTCACGACCCACATTCTGTAACACACAAAAATATTTTTTTTAAAACATCTTCAATTTCTATTTAAAAACTTACTTCTACACTAGTGTTTACCTCTATAAACTGACTGTTTACATTTCACAAGGACAAACTGAAGGAAAATCAGACTGTGCCTTCAGTTATTATAAATAATTACGTACAAATAATAAAATAAAAATAAGGAAAAACTGGCGTAAACGGAAATGGTGGATGATTACAATGCATCGAAATTGATCATGTAGGTATGTAGGTTTTTTTTAATAAAACTGAAGAAAACAAAAAAATACTATGTTTTTTATTTATGAATAAATAAATTAAAATTTTACAGGAGCGCACTCGCAATTGTCGCGAGACGCTTTGACTCGGGCACATAACCGATGCTGGACAGAGAACAGGCGAGTAACGCCGAGACACATTGAGGCGTAGCTAGTTCTAAAAATTAAATTTGAGTCGATTAGCATCAAATTTTTTCATTCAATTTCATTCTGGGTCAAAAATTAATTATAACATATGGTGGTGAAATATCTTATTGCAGTATTACTAATTTAAATAGTTATAAAATTAATAAATTTATTAAAAAAATACTATTTTGGCCGTGTAAGGAAAAGGTGAGATCTTCCGCCGGGCAAAGTGTTTAGTCAGGGGAGCGATAACGCTCTGTGTGTTATTTCGAAGCTGTTCTATATATAGCGCGTTATCTTCAGAACTTTGATAGCGCGATTAAGAGCGTAGACGGGCTGCATTTTTTCTATACAAATGTATTCCCCTATTCTCTTCCTGGATAATGCCTCTAGAGTAATCGGTTTTGTTTATAAAAATCTAGGTCAATTGAAGGCATGCCCCTGTCATTTACTTTTTTCCAAAAAATTATTACAAAAATAAATATGACTGTCCAAAAACCTAAAAAATGCCCCATCTTTACCTCCATAATCAGACTACTACCAAACAAATTTGAAAAGTTTTTAAGATAAAAACAAGTGATAAGAGCATAGATCTATTCTTCCTTTAAAATTTGATACCAAAATTAATTTAATCTGCTTAGTTTTCGAATAAAACAGGGGAATACGAAATGTCGATCGGTCATGGTTTTTGTACCACCAGACCAGAGGTGAGGGATGGTTAGACTAATAAATACTTATTAGTCTAAATAATTAGGAAAGTGACAACTGTCGAAATTTTTATCGATATCATAGTGATGTCACTCGATATCGACGTTTATGCTATACTGATTTACAGACGGCACAGAACAGTGAAATTAATAAGACAACGAAGTAACAATTCAGTGAGTTTACGTTTAGTATTATTTGAAATGAAATTTAGCGAGCTTTAGTGGAATAATACGTAACTAATGTTCGCATTCTACTGCTTGGTGAATAATTCTGTTCAGATCCTGACATGATCACCATGGGAACACATGAGAAGTATGTTGTTTCAAACAATGCCTATAAAATTTGTGAATTGCCCTTAAATTTCTTAGGATCCCAGCATCAGATCCTAACTTATACCTTCCATTATCATCTCAGCAACATGAGATGATGATTACTAGGCACAAATAGATGCGTTAGAAAGTACATGAAAAACATTATATGTGCCTATAAAATTTGAGGGTTACCCTCGATTTCCCTGGGATCCCATCATCAGATTCTGACTGTGTGACAATGGGACCACCTTAAGAGTGTAAGTTTTCGAATAAAAAAAAGAGTTATGAAAATCGGTCCACAATTGGCGGAGAAACCGGTGAACATACTTACATAAAAAATGCATACAGTCGAACATAATATAATCCTCTCCTTTTTTGGAAGTCGGTTAAAAATTATAAAACAAGTAAAAGCTCTATCACCGATGGCAACCCCAGTCGGAAGGTGAATTTCAATTATACAGTTTTATAATATTTGATTGCCATACAGATAGGCAATATATACCTACTTAAATGCATATTATAATTTGACATCAATGCATATTACGAGCGTCCGCAGCAGGGGGTAATTTATCCGCTTAGATGGGATAAATATGGGATAAACCATGTGCGAAACAAAGATACTAGGCATTGTTATTGCTGCTTTAATATTGTTATCGCCTTATGACAAGGACCATCTTGAGTCCAGCCATGCCATTCAAAATTGAACACCTCACGCTCCTTTGACCATAATAGATATGAAATTTTAACTTTACTTTTACTTGGATGGTATCGCACACGGTGCAAAATGAATCTTCCGTTTTATATAGGTATTCAAATCCAATCCACAAGCCGAGTCAAAAGAGTGAAGCAAAGAATCAAGTCCGTAAACATGGTGCGCGCGAAAGATGCGTGGTACTGAGCTACGCACACAAATACAGATTATTCACTCACATATTGATACCTCGGTTGCTCGGGCGCAGTGCGACAGCAATAGTTTCTTCAAATACCTATTTCTCAATTCCCGCGCAGACCGACTACGCTCTTAAGGCTTTGATTTTAGCGCGACGACAGCGCCGAATTTATTATCGAATATCTTAGGAGGTCTAGCCAATATTTGTGCACAAACCAAGTGATGATTTTTGTGTCTGGCCTGTTTGTGATTTTTTTTATAAGATAGGGTGACAAATGAGAACACAGTCTACCTGATGGTAAGTGGTTACTGTGACCTATACACATCTACATCTATCCTCAATAAAGAATCAAAATGCAGATGCGTTGTCACCCGTGAGGACTAAGATGAAATGCCTCTTTTCCAATAAAAAGGGTCTCCGGTTCTCTACACTCACCATACGAAACCTCAAGTTATACTTTGCGTTAAGCTGCTATTTTACGCTGGTATTCTGTGAGAGTGTGGTCCTTCTCCGGTCGAGCCGACCCATTCGTGCTACAACCATACTCATACTAATATAGCTACAGCATGGCTCTACCACATATAAAATATGCCACGTGGTTAGAGCGAAAAAGAATTGGACGATTATGGGAAACTCAGATTCCATAGATCGACGATTATGTAGATGGCAATGTGCTATCTTATATAAAAAGTAAAGTTACAGCTTATATATCTCATTTTTGGCCACATGCTTTCCCAATTAGTCCATGGCGCTACTTCAGTGCGTGTTGGCGGACGTCATGTCTCTGAAATATTTTTGTAGGTTTTCTTCACAATGATTTCCTTTATCACCGAGCAAAAGGTAAATACCATTACTTAAAATAAGAATTTACAACTTCGTTGCTATGGGCAGGGAACCTTAGCGAGAGCTTAGCCCCTGAGTTGTATCTCATATAAGTCAGATGTAAAATACCCATATTGGCACCTTGAAGCAGTGTCAAAGATAAATCTGATATCGCAATAACCTTTCTTACAGTGATTCATGTCGAATAGTGGGTTGTTCTTTATTCATTCATTCCAGCTTGTCACAAGTAGTCCCCCCTAGATTGCTTCGTAGGGGATATTTGCCATAGTTGTGATGCCTGGCAGGCGGGTTGGCAACCTAACTTAAAATAATAAAAAACTGTTTTTATTATTTTGATTTGTTAGGAAGATACTTTATAAGCTCATATAAGTAAACTATGAGTTCATAAAGTTCTTTAAACCGAGATGCCGTGCTGCCTGTGTCCTGTTTTATTTCCCTCTGTCGCTTGTTACCACCAACTAGATAATATGGGCTAGTGGATTCTCTTACATTACCATTATACAGCACATTCCAAGTATTAAAGGTGATGGTGATAGCATACTCTATTAAGACAGAGCGGGAAGAGGTTTTTAAACTACGTAAGACATATAATTTTTATTTTTCAGCAGATCTTAGCTAGTCCTTTTTAACATTTTAATATGTATTGCATATTTTAGTGGAGTATGTTCAGATCGAGGCTAAAAGAACAAATTTTTGCTGTAAATTTAACATAAATAGATTGGATATTGGATTTACATTTGATACTGAATGTAACAGCATTCTGTATTTGCCATTGTGTGAGGAAGCCAGAATCCTATACAAAATGATACAAATTGGACTTAAACGCAGATAAAATAAAATGTAAATACAATGATGAAAATTTAAAATTAAAAAGTTTTATACAACAGGCTTCAATAAAAATTATTAAGAATAATTCAAAAACGATTGGTCAGACCTTGATCAAATTTATATGGGGCCACATGTAAAGCACCAACTTAAAATAAAAAAAGAATCTACAAAATTGGTTCACCCAGTGAAAAGTTATGAGGTAACACACATAAAAAAAACATACAGTCGAATTGAGTACTGTCTCCATTTTGAAGTCGGTAGAAAATATAAAGAATAAGAAAACCATTTTAATATAATGCATTTTTACAAAGTGATGCCCAATTGTATTAATTTTTTCACTGGTTCTTTTCCTAAATAATAGGGGCACACCCTAATGTCAGGCCAAGTATAATAAGTATATTTTAGCAGACTTCATCACAACACACTTTAGCAGTGAACTTAGCATAATGATAATTATTAAGTAATTATTCAACTGTTTTATATTACAAAATTAAACTTTCCTCCTCGTTGGTTGTAGATTCTTAAAGCTATATGTAGCTGGCCCAATGCCACTTAATATGACTGATATATTAAACTATGTCAGTAACCTTTGTACAAAGAGAATTTAAAAATCAGGAATTATTATAAAATGACTCACCTTCACATGAATCTGGTTCTTAAGCATAGCAGCTCGTAGAATCAACATAGATGTTCGTCGTTGGTACTCTTTTCCCATCGCAAGGCTTCTTTCAAAAGTAGTGCTTCTCTGATCTACATCTTTAGCATATAATATTTTATTATGTGAATCAATACGAGCTTGGATTTGTCCATCAAGTATTAATTGCATTAACTCGTCTTCAAGAGCATTAACTGTGCGGTTGAAGGCAGCAGCCATAAGACGCATATCAGCTGATAAATAGGGGCTGAAGTATTGAATTAATGCTCTGTTGCGTATTTGCATATAAAGTGAATTTAAATGGGGTGCTAAATACATATCTAAGAGGAGGTTGTCCTTAATCTCGTCGAGTAGCCTTAAGCATGAAGCATATTTAGATTCATAGAATTTAAAAATGATGTCACGTAACTGAGGTTCTAGTTCTAAAAATAATTTAAAAGAACTGCTAACTATGACTTGCTTTTGTAATTCAGACCGGTCAAATGTGGCAAGGGCACATAGTCCACCATACACTGCAACATTGTTACTGCTCAGCAGTTCTGGATAGTCACAGTGGTCGATGCTTGCTGCAAGGAAGTGTTTAGCAGCAGATTTATATTTTTTTGTTGCTAATTCTGCTAAGCCCGCTGCACATTTTAATCGGGTTAAAATAGACTGATTAGAATCTTTTCCTGGAACTTCATTAAAATCTGGTGTGCCTACTGCTTTTGATACGTAATTAAGAACATGAGCCCAGTTGTGCAAGTATACTGACACTTTAACTACATTGAGGCACATCATAATAATGTGTTTACCACTTGTACAATAATCTCTGGCTCTTGAATAACACTTAAGTGCACTGGTAAGATCTCCACAATCTAAGTAATGATCTCCAAGATCATCATGTCCTCTCCGGATACTTTCCTTAATAGAATTTGTTTTGTAATTCTTAAGGTCAGTGTCTAATTTCTCCAACTTTATAGCAGCTTTTTTGGTTTTTGATTCTACCCACATAGTGTCTAATACAGGTATGTCTTGTGAGCCCATCTGAACAGCAACGTCTGGTAAGCCAGCTGACGCAATGGCCTCAGAGAGTTTTTTGTGTAGAGTTTGATAAAGACTTACATTGTATGTGGTCATAACATATGAAATAGCCATTTTCAAAGCCTCTAATCTAAGTGATGGGCAATGATCTGCTACAAACATTAATCTGTACAACTTTGCAAAGCCAGTATAAGATGCAGCATATGTTTCTAGATCCAAAGTTGGATTCTCAACTACATAACATTCTGTCTCATTGTTTTCGTTGTCTTCCAATGGAACATCCACTTGCATCGGTTCTGCAGCATTCTGCAAATTGAGAACAACAGCATTACAATCACATTGACTAGTTTAAGTTTTAAATTTTCAAAAATTCACTATAAATTATATTAATTTAATACTTTACAATAATAAACTTACCATTTCGAACATTTTACTTGACTATGATTGACTTATAAAAGAAAATACACGAAATCCACTGTCAACGCAGGAAACCAACCTAGAACAACGTATTATTTGTAACTGCTTTACGATACGTTTTAAAATTTATAAAAACAGATGGTTACCAATATAAACGTTAATCACATATTTCTAACTTAGTAGGGAGACGTTGTCAAAAATAGTTATTATCAAAATACCTTTATCATTACGTTTCTTTTTTGCAGCGGCATTTTTCTTTTTTGACGAGAAGTTTAATGTTGCCACATGTTAGTTTTATATATCGTTTATTTTGTATTTTTGTAATCTAGAAAGATTACTATAATAAAGATTACGATAATAAATATTATAGTATTTTAGCTCCAAAAGCAATGTTGTGAAAGTTGTAATATTTTTAATAAATGTTTGTAAAAACTGCGATAAGTTTAATATTAGATTGGTGGATAAAATTTTCCTTTGATTTTGAAAATTTTCCACCGAATTAAAATGATATGAGATAAGAAAAAGATCAGCGCTATCTTTGAATTTGTATCTTTTACATAAAGATCAGAGATATAATTATTAAGTGACATCTACATTTTAATAATATTACATCTGTGCTAGGTGTCCTTCCTTAGAGTATACATACATGTAATTACTTACATATTATGTACGTACGTATTAGAGAGTAATTGTGTTCTGTGGTACGTATGCATAGAGAGAAGTAGAGTGCGGTGAGCATTTTTGTGTACTGCGCCAATTAAAAAAGGTGGACCGTGTGGTGCCAAATAGGCCTAATACTCCTATTACACTACACTGAATCAGGGCCCCTAAGCCCTTAATAAGAGAGGTATAATAAGAGTAAGGTAATTAGGGTGTCGAAATGGACCCGGTCCGTAGTGCGCTTACCACCGAGCAGTGTAATAAGACTAAGCTAAGGACAGTTAGGGCGTTTACTCGATACGCGACTAGGGATGCAAACGATACATCGATCGAAAAGACAACTGTGCCTTGTTGCTTTTTTTTTATAGATAATTGTGACAAACGGGCACACAGTCCACCTGTTGATGGTCGATCCTCGATTACAAATCAAAATGCAGATACGTTGTCACCCATGAGGACTAAAATAGAATGCCTCATTTCTAGTAAAAAGGGTCTCCGGTTCTCTACTCTCACCAAACGAAATACAGCAGCGTTAAGCTGCTATTATACGATGGTATTTTGTGAGGGCGTGGTCCTTCCCCGGTGGAGCCGACCCATTCGTCATACAACTATACTACTAATATAGCTACAGCATGACTCTACCACGTAAAGCCACGTGTTGCACTCGAATATTTTTTAATAACACGATTTCTTTCGTAATAATTATAATATAATTATAGTATTAGAAGTTAAGATCCTTGTTAATCCTAACCCATAAGAATAAATGTCTAAAAAAATTATTAAGAACTTTTCTAATTTTAGATTTCCAAAAAGCTGTGAATTGGAAAATAAATGGATGGTAGCAATAAAAAGGCCCAACTGGGAGTTTCATCCATTTAAGTGTTTCATACATTTTTGAAAGCAATGGTGGACTGCGCAAGCTGGTTGGAGCAATAACAAAGCTTAGATTTGAAACAAGGATACACTTATTTAAAAGTGATTGAAAAACTAACTAGCTTTATCAGTTATTTATGTAGGTACCTACGTTATTACGTATGTGTGTTCAAGATTTTTTTTTAAAGTAATGGATGTCGTTGAAAATATACTAATATTAGAATGAAATATCTTGTATATAAAACTGCAATCAAGTAAACAAAACGACAAATATGTAATAAGTTAACCCTTTTTAAGGGGTAATAAATTAACTAGATATTTGTGTTTGATTAATAAACTTCGTTTTATAAATTCGTACCTGTATTTTATTGATCTGCTAAAACCTACCTACTTATTATTTACTAATTACTTACCTATTTTAAGCTTATAACTTAAGTACAATATCGCATTTGCGTCAATCTTGGCGCATAACTATTCAACCGCTTCATTTATGTATCAGTATCTTATAAAACACCTGCTGATGCTTGGCATAATGGGCAAAGAGCAATATACACGCTCTTTAGCTTGCTAATTTATACTCTGAGCATAGCATTAGAAATATAGCTCGAGACCTTTCAATAGCTCGTGACTTTAAAGACTGCTTAAGGTAAAGTACTAGCTCCTGGTCAAAACCATGTTGATAACGGACCAGGGGCTATTGAGCGGTAACATAATTATGCGACAAAACATTAGCCTATCTACGTAATGTATTATAATTTATACTACTAGATGTATCTAGCCAATTAAGTATAAATATACTTACTGTAATGTGAAAAACAAATAATTATATACCTTAAGTGAATTGTACATATACGTTTTATATAAAATTTCCTTTTACGCCACAAATTCTATTTTAACTGGGTTTACCTACATTCCTTACTTTTCTTAATGTAATTGGCGCCATGATTATGCACAAATTGGTTAAAAATTTGTAGTCCTCGCTGCTCCAGTTTTGGAGTTGGAACTCATTTTGTTTATCGTCACCGGTCACCAATCGAAAAAACGTTCGTCAACTATCTGGCGTCATGCGATTGGCGGCAAAACTTTTTGAAGTTACGGTGTCAAATACCACTCTCTAGGAAATGACGCTATCTCGTTTACACAGACAACGTTATAGTGACGTCATTTACCGCTTTATAAAGTCGCGTCTCTACTAAAGTTTTGTTACCAACTTTTGTATTGTCAACACGTGTTGGTGACAAATGTTTCTGTAATTACCAAATGTTGGCAACAAAACTTGTAAACAATGTCGGGAACCGTGTTTCCCTTTTCGGCGGCAACATCAAAGGAATTCGTTTGTTGCAAACATTTGTTCCCTCTGTGGAGACGCTTGTTGGAAACATTTGTCGACAACTTGTCTGTCACGTGGATGAACGAGTTAATCGACAAATTATTTAATTTATATCGTTCACTAAATATATTATGGGATGTGTGTAATCAAAATTATATTATTATTTATAGGTCGATCTAGATAATTAGGTACTTTGTTACTGACGCCATAGTTACAGATTTATTATTTGATTTTTCGATTTTTTCGCGTATAATGCCAATGACCTTAAAATTATTTCAGTGTAAGTAGACCTCCCAGTACTAGTGACTGCCTACTAATGCAAGATCAGCATATACTGGTAGTTGATTTGATACTTCTCATTGCCACTCTTTCATTAATAATGAAGGCGCGTATCGCATGTTTGTGAATAGTAAAAAATTTGAAACAGACAAGTGACGGCTCCGTGGCGCAGTGGTTTAGTAATGAGGTGCAGAGCTAAGGGCCGCGGGTTTGAATCCCGGACGAAGCAAGTATTTATGTATGGCCTACAAATAATTGTTCTAGGTCTGTTCTATGTGTATAAACTGTCCCTGCGATACAGGAAAAAGTCCTAGTTTGGAGATAACGTTTTTTAAAAAGAGAGGAAGAAAGACAACTAATGAAATTAAAATTTTTGCCTATAACCGACTACAATATAAATACGCATTATTAAGGATAACTCCAAAACTACTGGTGTGTTTTTTGCATAAAATAAATACTGCTGCTGCCTGCATAAAATCGTCACTTGAAGACATATTGTTGCCAACAAAACTTTGGTGGAGACAGCAAGATGTTAACTAAAATGTTTCTCAAATTGTTGACGACATGTTTCGATTCGGTGCGAAAACATCGGAAACAAAAGTTGGTAATATTTGTTGAGTTGGAAACATAAATGTTGTCAACATTTTTGGTGGATACGCGGCTTTACGATCGTCATGTAGCGGCACCGCAATCCTATCGTGCGTATTACTATCACAGTTTTAAGAGCCCTCTTACATTTCGGCGTTTCGCAAATTTAGGTATTTTACACACCGAGCTGGCGGCGAGCTACGCGACCGATACTTTCTTTCATATCTATTCACTCGCTCGCACTTTAATACTGTGAATATGGCGATTAAACGATCTTGATCTTCCACAATACAAAGTTTCCTTAGGATGGGCTTCAGTGGATGGAAATAGGACATTTAATTTAATAAGACCGTCGCTGTATAAACCATTAGGTGAAGCCCTCAAATAACAATGATCTAGGTCAATGAATAGACTACATTTTTCTATAATAATATTTTCTTGTTTGCTCAATTGTGCTAATGCTACATACTCGTTGTCCCTACCATGTTTAATGGAAGAGACGTGATCTAAATTATAACTATATAAAATAGTTTTAAACCGATCGATCAAAAATTGCGGTCGTAGTTGACGATGCTCTAGCACGCAGGCAATCGACGCATACTACGGTACTATCGAAACGACGTAGCGCGCGAAATCTATTGACGCAGGTCCAACCTCGACAACTCGCGCGATAGTGAACGCAGATGGCCGGCTCAGTGAAATATATGGTACTTTTATTTAATTAATTAAAATATAATAGTAACGATTTAAAAAGTAAAAATAATAGTATAGTTTAAGCAAATGTTGATGATTATTTTGGTATAAATTTTACGTCTAAGTGATGTAGAACTTCGGAAATATAGAGGCTTGTATCGAAGCTTTTTCGGTCGTCTTTTGAATTATGTATATATTTTTTCCTAGCGTGAAAGGCATATAACGAAAATATATTCTATAATTATTAAAGTGTAGAATATTTGGGAGATAAAAAATTTTTTTTTGATGGTCGATATTCAATAGAATATCGACCATCATATTAGAGCTCCCAAATCATGTCTTTGGGCGTTTTTGCCTAAACATGCATTGGGAGAATGATTATTACTGATTAAATAAATAAGTTATCTAAAATCCGCTCGGAGCTTATTTGAGAAGAAAAAACGAACTATTTTACGAAACGAAATATTTAACATACAATTTAAACGAGAAAACCTTGTAATTTCTCGTTTTTTTGGAATTCGCCTCTTAAGACCTTACAGTTGTGAAACGCCTTTGATGTCCGGCGATGCCGCGGCCCGCGTAGGTATTTACGCGGCCAACGTGTATGCTAAAGGTTACAACGAAAATGGAAATAAAATTAATTTGGACATTATAATACTTATTAGCATTATTACTACAAAATTTACAAGTGTTGCACTGCCAAATATTTTCGTGACTCTTTCTTTTTATAGATGTTTTCAGTTTTCGTTTGTAAATTTTATTATGTAATGTATTCGCATTCAGATAAACTATTTATTAACAA